CAACCCGGGTACATGTCCTTGACTGGAATCGAACCTGGGACCCTTCAGTCCTCAGGCCGAGCTCTATCCACTGAGCCAAACCGGTTAGGGCTCTTTTATCCATTTTGAGTTTATTCTTGTGTATGGTGTAATTGGTGGTCTATTTTCTTTTCTTTTCTTTTTTTTTTTTTTTTTTGCATGTATCTGTCCAATTTTCCCAACACCATTTATTGAAGAGACTCTCTTAACTCCATTGTATGCTCTTGCTTCCATTGTCAAATATTAATTGAGCATAACGGCTTGGGTCAATTTCTGGGTTCTCTGTTCTGTTCCATTGATCTATATGCCTGTTCTTGTGTCAGTACCAGACTGTTTTGATTACAGTGGCTTTGTAGTATAACTTGAAATCTGGTATTGTGATTCCTCCAACTTTGTTTTTCTTTCTCAAAATTGCTGTTTCTATCTTTCTCCCTCTCCTTTCCTCTCTGAAATCAATAAAAATATTATTAAGAAAATAAAAGTCCAGCCCTGACTGGTTTGGCTCAGTGGATAGAGCGTCGGCCTGCGGACTCTTAGGGTCCCGGGTTCGATTCCGGTCAGGGGCATGTACCTTGGTTGCAGGCATATGCCCAGTGGGGGGTGTGCAGGAGGCAGCTGATCGATGTTTCTCTCTCATCGATGTTTCTAACTCTCTATAAAAAACTCTCCCTTCCTCTCTGTAAAAAATCAGTAAAATGTATTAAAAAAAAGAAATAAAGTCCATTAATTAAAAAAGTATCTGATAGCCCTGGGGGATGTGCTCAGTGGTTCGAGGGTCGGCCTGTGCACTGGAGGGTCTCAGGTTCCACCCACGTTCCCTGTCAGGGCACTTAACTAATTGATGTTTCTCTTTCTTCACTCTTCCAGTGAGGATTAAAAAAAAAAAAGTCTCTGATTATACACTCAGCTATTTACTTAGATTAAAATAACAGACTGCTGAAACAGACTACTCTGTGATACATGAAAAGTTATATGGTGCGCGAACCTCAGTGTCCTCAGTCAGTATTACTGGAACAGACATGTCCATTTGTTTGTAAGTTGTCTATGGTGTCTTCTGTCCTACAGGGATCACGGAGCCTACAAAGCCCAAACATTGACTCTCTGGCCCTTTACAGAAAGGTTTCCTGGCCCCTGGGCTGCACCCCACCCTCTGTGTGCCTCTCCAGGCTACAGGGCACTATCTCCGGGTGCAGCCTCGGGAACAGCTGTCAGTCTGGTGCCTGGAGTGGGGGTCCCGGGAGCCCATGCCTCCCACAAAGCAGGTTCCACCTACCCTGGGTGTTGGTGGGTCCAGCACTCCATGCCCCATAGCCTGTGAACAGAAGACCTGTGAATTAGGATCCTATGTACACCAGCAACAGGTGCTTTGGAGTTGGCTCTGAAGAACCTAAAGGGATATCCTCAAAGGAGTTCAGTGCCAGCCTTACAAGAGGGCAGCATAACCACAACGCTGCCTCCCTAAGGGTCCTCTCACAGCTGGCTGATTGCATCATCACACTCCACCTGCCAGAGGTCAAAGCAGAAAAAAGAGGGGTGGGGAAGGGGCCTTGAGCCAGCTCTGCCTGTCACTTGCCGAGGAACCTTGGCCTAAGCCTCAACCCACACCTGAGGATGACACAGGAAGAGCCACCAGCTAGCCCATCATTAGGACTCCTCCGTTCCCCTCCTTGGCTCACCAACTAAGCACCCATAAGTGCCCATCACTTGGACACAACTGTGCCACTCTAGGTCTTGTTTCCATATGGCTTTGAACCCTCCAATGCTCCGGGGCACCTTCAAGTCCCAGGGCCTCATCCTGCCCCCAAGAATCAGACTGTGCTCCCCTCTGGTCGCTCCTCTGTCCCTCCAGACCCCAATATAGCATCTGTCTGGCCCCTCTTCATCTCCATGAGCCTGCATGTGGCACAGAGATGGCCACAGGCAGCTATTTACACCCGTCAAATGACTTCACCTTTATAAAGCAAGAATGTAACTGATCTCCCTTACCTGAGCAACCCAAACCACTAGCTGACGGCCTACTGTGTGCTGACACACAACAGGCACTGAGCACACAGTAGCCAGCTTCACAGAATGCCGTTCAGAGCCCAGGGAGCTAAGGCTCTGGTTAGGGTCTCTGACCCAAAGTCACACTGAAGTTTGCCCTCCGCAAGGCACCCTCTCCCCACACCATGCAGCTTCCATAGCTGTGCAGAGAACGCAGAGTGCGGTTCTGACAGCACGGGACCAACTGCAGGGCACTGGCTGCTTCACTCTGGGGCACATGCCACTCACATAACTTCATGACGCCCCTTCAGACAGGTACTGTTTTTCTTGTTGTAAAGGCTTGAGAAGCTAAGTCACTTGCCCAAGACCACGGAGCTAGGAAACGGTCAGGGAGCACTGTCAAGGCTCAGTGAGTCCTAGGAAGTAACTCCAGGTGTTACAGCTACAGGATGATTCAGGGAAGCTGCAGCATCTAACCGAGCCTGAAAGGTTTTTAGCAGGTAGGAAGGGGGGGGGGGGCATCTCCAAGCCAAGGGCCTGTATGATACAGGATTATTGGGGGGAAAATCTGGCAGGAAGGCAAATAACAATGAGACCCAGTCAGGCTGAGGACCCCGGGCACTTCCGTGCACCTCAGAACCTCTCTGCTTCTGCAATTCCTGCGGCTTGGTTCCTGCTCACGCTGCCCCCTTCCAAGACACTGTCTTCTCTAGCTGCCGCTCCCAAGACCAGGTCACCTGCTTCTCGAACCTCAGATACTTGGATAGGGATCTGCGCCTGGTCCAGCCCAACTGTTCCCAGTGGGCAAACTCGGCTACAGTACCGAGCAGAGGCTCCGAGGAGACTGACCGGGGAGATGAAGGGCAGGTCCCCCTGCGACAGGCCCTGCAACCCGCACGGGGAGAGGGCACACGTCCTTTTCCCGCGGCCCTGGCACCTCCGGGCCGCCGTAAGAGAGTCCCTGGAAGAGAGCCACCCATCCGCCGCCACCCGGGCCACATCAGGTTTCCAGCTCTGCCCAAGGAAATGCCCAGCATCTGACCCTCAGGTTCCGTCCGGGGCCGGCACGAGTCAGATCCACGGCTGAACCCGAGGCTGAGCCTCACAGAAGCCTCACCCGGTGCGGCCGCGCTACACCGCGGAGCTGGCAGGGAGGACGCCGACCCCGCGCCACCCGGGCGCATTCCGGGGCGGGAGCGCCTGGCCACGTGCGCCGCGCGGAGGCCCCCACCGAGCCCCGCGGATCCCGGGACAGGCCTGACCGCCAGGGAGAGGACTCCGCGCCCCCCGAGCGCCGACTGTGGCTCCGCCCCCCGGCGCCGCCATTTTGTGGCGTCTTCCGAAGGGGAAGTCGGCGGGCCGGTGAGCACGGGCGCGGTGAGCAAGGCGGTTCGACCCGCCGAAGCTAAGGGTTAGAAACCGACCCGACGGCCCAAGGCGCCCCCTGAAGCCCATCCCAGCGTCAGGACGCCGCACTCCGCCCGCCTCCTCAGGCACCGCCATCCAATCCGCACGTAATGCCGCGGGAGCGACGGCACCGCAGTCCAATGAGCGGCGGGCGCGCGCCCAGTCCGCCTCGCCGCA